GGCACCAGGGTCCTGACTGATGTCACAGAGTCCACCTCAGTGGATGTGCTGTTGACAAACCTCATCAGGGGGAAGCTGCTTCCCTCTGCTCACCTCTGGATAACCACACGACCTGCAGCAGCCAATCAGATCCCTCCTGAGTGTGTGGACATGGTGACAGAGGTCAGAGGGTTCACTGACCCTGAGAAGGACCAGTACTTCAGAAGGAGGTTCAGAGATGAGGAGCAGGCCAGCAGGATCATCTCCCACATCAAGAGCTCCCGAAGCCTCCACATCATGTGACACATCCCATTCTTCTGCTGGATCACTGCTACAGTTCTGGAGGATGTGTTGGCAACCAGAGGGGGAGGAGAGCTGCCCAAGACCCTGACTGAGATGTACATCCACTTCCTGGTGGTTCAGACCAAACTGAAGAAGGTCAAGTATGATGGAGGAGCTGGGACAGATCCACACTGGAGTCCAGAGAACAGTGAGATGATCCAGTCTCTGGGAAAACTGGCTTTTGAGCAGCTGCAGAAAGGCAACCTGATCTTCTATGAGTCAGACCTGACAGAGTGTGGCATCGATATCAGAGCAGCCTCCGTGTACTCAGGAGTGTTCACACAGATCTTTAAAGAGGAGAGAGGACTGTACCAGGACCGGGTGTTCTGCTTCGTCCATCTGAGTGTTCAGGAGTTTCTGGCTGCTCTTCATGTCCATCTGACCTTCATCACCTCTGGAGTCAATCTGCTGGTGGAAGAACAGTCAACATCCAGCAGGTCTGAACTGTTTAGAGACAAACCTCAACTAAAACATCTCCACCAGAGAGCTGTGGACGAGGCCTTACAGAGTCCAAATGGACATCTGGACTTGTTCCTCCGCTTCCTCCTGGGTCTTTCGCTGCAGACCAGTCAGACTCTCCTACGAGGCCTGTTGACACGGACAGGAAGTGGCTCACAGACCAATCAGGAAACAGTCAAGTACATCAAGATGAAGATCAGTGAGAATCTGTCTCCAGAGAGAAGCATCAACCTGTTCCACTGTCTGAATGAACTGAATGATCGGTCTCTAGTGGAGCAGGTCCAACAGTCCCTGAGATCAGGATGTCTCTCCACAGATAAACTGTCTCCTGCTCAGTGGTCGGCTCTGGTCTTCATCTTACTGTCATCAGACAAAGATTTGGACGTGTTTGACCTGAAGAAATACTCTGCTTCAGAGGAGGCTCTTCTGAGGATGCGACCTGTGCTCAGAGCCTCCAACAAAGCGCTGTACGTGCACATAGGCCATTCCAGGTTAAGTTGATCTTTGTCTTTAGTTAAGACATAAAGTTGATGTTTCTAACTGGTTTCTATGTTTTTTTGCTGGTTTCCCTCCAGGCTGAGCAGCTGTGACCTGTCAGAGAGAAGCTGTGAAGCTCTGTCCTCAGTTCTCAGCTCCCAGTCCTCTAGTCTGAGACACCTGGACCTGAGTAACAACGACCTGCAGGACACAGGACTGAAGCTGTTGTCTGTTGGACTGGGGAGTCCGGACTGTAGACTGGAAAGTCTCAGGTCAAGATTTAAAACACAACATCACTGAATCCACTAAAGATTGAACAGGAAATGATAATTGAAATAGTTGTAGATTTTAAAAAGTATAACATTGTACATTTTACAGCAGATACCTGGGCAGAAAATCACATTTTTGGCAAGAGTACATTTGTAAATGAGGGCTCATAAGGTCAGAGTGAACTTCAACATATCTTAAAACAATTTGGAAGGTATGATCTGCCCCTATTCAACATGTCCATATTAGAACTGATCAATCTCTCTCTATTAACAGGTTATGTTCCACAGGCTTTTAAAGTTGCAGTAATTAAACCTCTACTCAAAAAGCCTACTCTTGACCCAGGTGTTCTAGATAATTATAGGCCAATATCCAATCTCCCCTTTATTTCTAAAATCTTTGAAAAAGCTGTTGCTAAGCAGTTATGTGACCACTTCAACAATGATTTGTTTGAGGATTTTCAGTCAGGATTTAGTCATAGTACAGAAACTGCATTGTTGAAAGTCACCAATGATCTCCTCCTAGCCTCAGACAATGGACTTGCTTCCATACTTGTCCTCTTAGATCTCAGTGCTGCTTTTGACACCGTTGATCACAGCATCTTACTGCAGAGACTTGAACATGTTATTGGGATTAAAGGAACTGCACTAAGTTGGTTCAAATCTTATTTATCAGAAAAATTTTAATTTGTTCATGTTAATGATGAATCTTCCACACAAACTGAAGTTAGTCACGGCGTTCCACAGGGCTCTGTGTTAGGTCCAGTTCTCATGACTTTATACATGCTCCCTTTAGGCAATATTATCAGGAAACACGGCATAAATTTCCATTGCTATGCAGATGATACTCAGTTATATTTATCTATGAACCCAGATTAATCAGATCAGTTGGTCAAACTTCAAGCATGTCTTAAAGGCCTGGATGACTTGTAATTTCTTACTTCTAAACTCTGACAAAACTGAAGTCATTGTACTTGGGCCACAAAACCTTAGAAATCTGCTGTCTAACCATATAGTTGCTTTAGATGACATAGCTCTCGCCTCCAGTACTACTGTGAGGAACCTTGGAGTCATTTCTGATCAGGATATGTCATTTAAATCACACATAAACAAAGTCTCTAGAACTGCCTTCTTTCACCTGCGCAATATTACTAAAATCAGGAGCATCCTGTCTCAAAGTGATGCTGAAAAACTGGCCCATGCATTTGTTACTTCCAAGCTGGACTACTGTAACTCTTTACTATCAGGAGGTCCCACTAAGTCCCTAAAAAGCCTCTAGTTAATCCAAAATGCTTCAGCAGAGTACTGACAGGAACAAATCATTCGTGTGCAAGTGGTCACATAACTGCTTAGCAACAGCTTTTTCCAGAATTTTAGAAATAAATGGGAGATTAGATATTGGTCTATAATTAGCTAGGACACCTAGGTCAGGAGTAGGCTTTTTAAGTAGAGGTTTAATTACTGCAACCTTAAAAGCCTGTGGAACATAACCTGTTAATAAAGAAAGGTTAATCAGATGTAATATGGACATGTTGATTAGGGGAAAGACATCTTTGAGCAGCCTGGTCGGGTTGGGGTCCAGGAGACATGTTGATGATTTAGATGAAGCTAATGTTGAGGTCAATTCAGAGAGATCTATGGGAGAGAAGTAGTCCAAGTATAAATGAGGTCTCACAGATGTTTCTAAAGCCATTGTAGTAGATGGCACATCCATGAGAGCTGTGATCATATCTCTCCCATATTAGCTTCTCTCCACTGGCTCCCTGTAAAATCCAGAATAGAGTTTAAAATCCTTCTCATAACATATAAAGTCCTTAATGACAAGGCTCCATCATATCTTAAAGACCTCATAGAGCCTTATCATCCCAACTGAGCACTTGGCTCTCAAAGTGCAGGTCTACTTGTAGTTCCTAGATTCAACAGAAGTAGAATGGAAGGCAGAGCCTTTAGCTATCAAGCTCCTCTCCTATGGAACCAGCTCCCTGTCTCAGTTCAGGAGGCGGACACTCTCTCTACCTTTAAGACTAGACTTAAGATTTTACTATTTAATAAAGCTTATAGTTAGGTTAATACAATTTTGTTGTTTTCAATATAATCCTATCAGGAGAGTGAGGGAGGGTAGAAAGGTACGTAGTATGTTGTGTTATGTCTTCTGATATTTCATGGCATCATAACAACTAATGTGGCTGAACAGGGATAAGACCGACAGCCATCTTCGTAACTGCAAGCAAACTGCCATCCTGTTGCCACTGAGTATTTTTAACCATACCAGTGATTTTTTGTCAACAGGATGGCCGTTGCATGGCCCATGTAGTGGTGTTATTGGACATGTGTTCTAGGGTAAGTTTGGTTTGGTGGACCATCACTTAGTTACAGGCCTAGGCTGAGGGTCATCCCATGATGCTCTGAGCTCCTCTCGTCTCCTCTCCTCCCCTCTCTCCCTATATTTCTATGTGCCACCATTACACATCACTAACTTTGTGTCTCCTCTCTCCCGTAGTGTGTCCTCTTTCTCTCCCTGTACCTTTCTGCAGGTTGCCCTGGCTCTGGAGCTCTACGTCTCTGATGAGCAGTCACCGGCCACATCAACCGGACCAGTGTTTGAATGTTTATTGTGTCTTAATGCTTTAATTTTCTTTTGTCTCTCCTCTATCCAATCACCCCAACTGGTGAAGGCAGAAGGCCGTCCACCAAGAGCCGAGGTTTGTTGGAGGTTTCTTCCGTTAAAGGGAATTTCCTCCCCGCTGTCACCAAGTGCTGCTCAAGGGGGATTTGTTGGGTTTTTCCTCGATAATAATAATGATAATAGTAAGGTCTAGCCTGCCTTTGTAAAGTGTCCTGAGATGACTTTTGTAGTGATTTGGTGCTATACAAATAAAACTGAATTTGAATCTCAAAAGATCAGGCAGAGAAGTTCATATGGGACACAATATTTGTAAGAGTATAACAATATAACATCTGTGTGTGTGTTCAGGCTGTCAGGCTGTCTGGTCACAGAGGAAGGTTGTGCTTCTCTGGCCTCAGCTCTGAGCTCCAACCCCTCCCATCTGAGAGAGCTGGACCTGAGCTACAACCATCCAGGAGCCTCAGGAGTGAAGCTGCTGTCAGCTGGACTGGAGAATCCGCAGTGGAGACTGGACTGTCTCAGGTACAGACAGACCACAGACAGCAGCAGCTCTCACACTGTGTCTCTGTCTCTCTGACTGACTGAGGAACTCTGGTCCATGTTTAATGGTGGATGTGAGTGAAGGTGTCTGACGCTGACTCTGTCTCTTCCTCCAGGGTGGACCATGGTGGACCACAGTGGATGAGACCTGGTCTGAGGAAGTGTGAGTGTGTTTAAGTTTGATTCCTGAGAACCCAGCTGCACATGTTTCACAAGATGTGGATATTTTCCTGCCTGAAGGACAAGATGTTTGAGATGTGCAGAGGTGTGAGCTTTGTGCTGAATGTGAGCTCTGTGGTGGAGCTGATGAGAGTTGTAGGAAGCAGCTGGTTCAGAGCTGCTCTGTGCTGCAGTGGAAGATGATGAGGCCAGGTTGATGAGTGAGATTTGATCCAGTCCAGGTGTTTATTGATCTCCATTAGCTGCCATCCTTGGGCCACAGCAGGAAACATCTGGACTCTCATGTTAAGTGACTGCTCATGTTGTTGTAACTGGATTGTTGCATTTCAGTTTGAATGGAGCCAAACATGAGTCACAGTGAATGTGAAATGTCAGTGTGAATGATTTCCTCTCAGTAACTGTCAGTAAAGTTGTTCATACACCAACAGATGATAAACTGCAGCTGTGTCTTTTCTCTCCATCAGATTTCTGTGAACTGGAACTGGACACAAACACAGTGCACAGAAAACTACGACTGTCTGACAACAACAGGAAGGTGACAGGGGTCGAGGAGGATCAGTCATATCCTGATCATCCAGACAGATTTGACCACTGGCCTCAGCTACTGTGTAGATCTGGTGTGACTGGTCGCTGTTACTGGGAGGTCGATTGGAGAGGAAGAGTCTCTATTTCAGTGAGTTACAGAGGAATCAGGGGGAAAGGAAACACTGACTATTGTTTTGGATGGAATGATCAGTCCTGGATACTGTTCTGCTCTGATGATGGTTACTATGTCAGGCACAATAAGATACAAACATTCATCTCCTCCTCCTCCCCCTCCTCGGTGTCTCACAGAGCAGCAGTGTATGTGGACTGTCCTGCCGGCACTCTGTCCTTCTACACCGTCTCCTCTGACACACTGATCCACCTCCACACCTTCAACACCACATTCACTGAACCTCTTTATCCTGGGTTCAGGATCTGCTCTCCTGGTTCCTCAGTGTCTCTGTGTGGTATGTAGGTGTGAGTCTCCTGTGGACACAAACTCTAGCTGAAGATCAGCTGCTGAGGTCAAAGGTCACTCTGTTCCCCATCCCACGCTCTGCACCGTGAAGCAGATCTGTCTCCGACTCAGACACCAAACACTCATCTGTCTGATTTCACCACTTTGACCATCAAAAAATGAGTTTCCTTCTGTGTGATGATTATTGTTGTCTTGGCACACTCTGCTGTTGTTGCTGCCAGGAGCCACTGAGCAGCATCCAGCTCTGTTTGGGTTTAATAGAATCACATCCATCCAGCTATGGAAGCCCAGAGTAGCCATGTTCTGTTTGTCAAGCTTCCTCTCAGAACCACAACTTATTTACTCCTTGAGTTCCAACATGTTTTTGTATCTCTCATATGTATTAATCACAGCAAGATCATCAGACACCAGTTGGATCTGGTTCCCTGTCCGACCAGCATACCATGACACTGGGAGTGTGTTCACACATGATTTTTGCTGCATTTCCATCATCCCTGCAAATGTGTGTGATGATTTGTCCATCCATCCATCCATCCATCCATTTTCTTCCGCTTATCCGGGCCGGGTCGCGGGGGCAGCAGTCTAAGCAAAGATGCCCAGACCTCCCTCTCTCCAGACACTTCCTCCAGCTCCTCCGGGGGAATGCTGAGGCGTTCCCAGGCCAGCCGAGAGACATAGTCCCTCCAGCGTGTCCTGGGTCTTCCCCGTGACCTCGTCCCGGTGGGACATGCCTGGAACACCTTCCTAGGAAGGCGCCCAGGAGGCATCCGAAAGAGATGCCCGAGCCACCTCAGCTGGCTCCTCTCGATGTGATGATTTGTCTGCAAAAAAAAAGTCCTCAGCTCAGACTCACAGGCCACTCATGTGTGCTATGCAGTTAGCGTAGCACAAGATTGCTGAAGCACCTAGTGATTTTAATGTTAATCAGGTTTGTGTAAAAGTGTTTAGGAAACCTGACGCTCCCAAACCAAGGTGTTCTGGGGGGACAGTTGGTTGAGGAGCACAAAGCCTCCTGCATGTACATGCTCATATTTTAGAAAACCATTTGGTAAAGATGACACCTGGGAACCTTTCTGGCATTTGGAGGATTTCCCAGAAGAAGTAAACCTCCAGGTAAAACAAGTGACATATGATTGATGGGACAAGCTGCGTTCTAAGTCTAAGCTGGTTGCACCACCATAGGTTGCTCCTGAAAGACGCTGAGGGAGGGGTCTAGTTCCACAGGTCAAGTTTAGTTCTATAGACAGCAGCATTTCAAGCCAACATGATGGCCCTCTGTAGTTTTATGAAAAATCCAGGGGCCACATGGACAGTTTTGGTTGGTTGTCATCAAATGTCACAAAATTTCCCAAAGGACACACCCTGAGTCAGTAAAGCCTTGGCCTTTTCATCCTGGACTTCACTGCACCCATGTTTGCTTCAGGAGTTGAATTTCTTTATCTTTGCACTGTGAGGTTGACAAGTGAGGGACAGACACCCCATGAAGACACTGATTCAGTGTAGGTCTCTCCTTTACCCAGTGGAGGCTGAGCCAGTATTCACATCTGTTCCATCCGGTGAGGACCTTCGTCCTGTCAGTTTAACTGAGACAGCTCCAGGATCATTTTTCCTTCATCCATCAGCGTGTGTGCTGTCATCTCTCTGTGTTGGCAGGACTCCAGGGGGTTCCAGGGTGGAGTTGCTGTAAAGTCAGTCTGAGGAATGGTGCTGAAAGTTGTCTTTCTAGCCTCAGCTGTGGACTGGATCAACACACTGCTGCTCCCTCTGCACTTCTGGGAACATTTACCCTGTTACCCAGAAGTGCAGAGCTGTAAAAACGGGTCCTGGAGAGAGTCCCAGGAGACACATGTCACTAAAGTGGTGATGGCCTTTGATATTCCGGTATCAGAAATGACCTTTCAGGAGGAGCTGCAAGAGGCCATTCAACAGATTGTCTCTTTTCAACTAGAAGTCCCACAGGAACAACAAGAGTATTTGCAAGAAATACTGGACTGTCCACTGTTTAAAGAGGCAGTATCCAAAAAGATGACAGATAAGCCAGAAAAAGATGAAAAAGTTTTACTCGGCTCAAAGGAAACCATGCCAGTGACAGGAACAATCCTGGTGCAAGAAGAAGAGTATATGGAGGAGTTGATATTAAACTTGTATTCCCCCATTACACCAGAACCGATGGAGGAGAAAATGGCAGACCTGTGGGATGAAGTAATGGAGGAAAATGCAGAATATCTACTTGTGGACGAGTGGAGGGAGGAACTGGGTTTCAAGGAGAAAGAGAAAAACAGCAAAAGGAGTTGGAAAAGAATAATTGTAAAGCTATAGCTAAAATGCATAAAGTAGAAAGTTAAGATATTTAGTAAGTAAGGATAATCATAAGCTGTGTATTTTGTTTACAATAAGTAGTATTCAGATGTGCAAAGTTAGAATGAGAAATGACTATTGAGAAATTAATGAAAGTGATTTTGCATTTAGAGTAAAAATGTTGAAGTTACTAAAGAAGAAGAGGACCAAATGAGGGAAAAACCAATATTGTATCAGGATGACAGTTGGTGGTTGCAGGCACTTTCTGGAGCTGGAGCAAGAACAACCAAAGATAATGTAACAGAATCAACTGACAAACTGTCCAAAGGCCTGAGACAAGTGATCGTTGGCAGAAAAGAGAAGTGGATAAAGCTGAATCACAGTGAGTGGAGGCCAGTTATGGGCAGTGTATTGAAAACCTTGATGGTAAAAGATACATAACAGTTCTGAAAAACAAGACTTTGCATGCTAAAAAAGGTAATAGCTGAAAACTGTAGCATCTGGTTGGATGAGCGGGCGAAGCCTACGTGACAAGAAGCCTTTAAAAACCACAGGGAAAAGAGGTTCTTGTTGCTGCCAGAGGCTCTGTCCGGTTGTTTTCTGTGGAAAACACAGAGAAGCAAGCCGAGAGGACGTCACAGTTGCGGCTTCTCCCCTGCAGAGCTATGGCCCAAAGCGGAAAGTCAGTGATGGACGGTTGAACTGTTCAATAGACTCCATGTATCATCAATGAAGATGGGAGTCCCTACCTGAAGGGAATCTATGAGGGGAATAATGACGTTTAACAAAAAGCTACAACCACCAACTCGAACCAGTGAAGGACTAGTGATCAGTGATCACTCTAGTATTCAGTGATTGAGAGTTCAACTATAATGTTTTTAATCAATATAATAGTTTAGATTGATGTTTAGAAATAGTAGTTGTTGATTCATGTATGTGTTGTATTTGTAAGCAAATCAAACAATGATTATTGATGATTTTAAAATGTTGCCTTATTGCTCACTGTCATGCTGTAACTCTTTTAAAATGTATATAAAATTTCTAAAAAGGTTAATCTGTCTCTCTCTTTATTGAGTCAGCCTTGTTATTATTATTATTATTATCCATATGGGTTTCAGAACAGTTTTAGATCTTGTATGTAGTGATGTTTAAAGCCATATATGATGGTCATTATATAAACTACAATACAATTAGTTTAAATGTGGTTAATCTCAAGAGAAAATCAGTGATGACTGATAGTTAACATTAAGTTACATAATGACAATTTTCAGACAGTTGCATCAGAAAACACTTCAGAGAAATTTCTCAGCTAATTACTCATATCATATACAGTACACTGTAACTCGAGTGTCCCATCTTGTAAAAAAAAAACATGTCAGCTAAATACTATGCAAAGCAAACATGGTCATATGTGGCCAGTGTCACAGCTTTTATGGGTTCTTTCAGACAAAACTCAACACTCCCTCAAAGAGCCAGAGTATACTGTACGTTACACACAAAGAGTTTGTTTCTGTTACAGAACCGAGGCAGCCATCTGCAGTGCCACCTCAACTGATGGCTCTAACCATCGGGGGCAACAGGGGGGTTTAGTGTTTTGCCCAAGGACACTTTGACTGCCAACACTGAGATTCGAACCGCCAATCTTCTGGTTGGGAGACGACTACTCTACTCACCGCACCATTGTCGCTTACCCCAACAGAAATATATACATACACAGTTTAGATGCAGTTTTCCAGATAGATATATACAAACGTATATTTATAAGGTTTTGCACGGAGGATTGTTGTTTTTCTGTTAAACAGTCTTGTACACAACCGATGACTGTGTTTTACACATCACATCTGTTTGGTTCAGCTCAATGAAGATCAGCTGTGTTATTGTTATGTTTGGTTTAAATGAGCTTGAGCCCAGAAAATGTGGCAGCGTTTCTGGATCTTGTTTCTATGTTTTCCTCTTTGCATGGTTTTAACTTTAGTTTTAAGCTGTAAGGTGTATTTGTGGGTGCAGTCAGAGGTGAACCATATTCACTGACAGTGGTTTTCAGAGGTCGCCCTGAGGCCACGCTGTGACTTCCACCACAGAATTCTGTCTGTTTTTAATGCAGCATTGCCTGAGGGCCTGAAGATAGCCAGTCACTGCTGGTTTTCAGCAGTCTTATGTTTTTATTCTTAAATTTTTGAACTATGTGCTACACAGAGTGATGAACCTCACTCCATCCTTACTTCTGAAAGACTCAGCCTCCCTGGGATGCTCTTTTTATACCCAGTCACGACACTGACCTGGTGTTGATTAAACTAGCTGTGAAGTTTATGTAACTTTTATAACATCTTATAACATTTTATGTAACATTATGTCACTATTCCAACTTTTATTGGCTTTGTCTTAACTTTTTGGAACATGCTGCTGGCCTCACATTTATAATAAGCTTGTATAAACCAAAATATATAAAATATATTAATATGAACAATAGATATTTTATCTCTGCACTCTTAACAAATGAGTATGAGGTAAAAGCTGTTTTCAAAATATTCTATTCCATTTTTGTTTACAATTTACACAACATTTCATTTTGTGAATAATGATTTGGGGCATAAAAACATTCTTTTTTTTAATTTAAAGGAATATTCAGGCCTTAAATATTTTCTTATTTTGTGGCTTTGCCTATTTTTGCACACTGTAGAATTGTCTTCCAGGTCACGTTTTGTGTGTAAAACAGTCGACACCAAGTAAACCCTTGATCAATATGTTGTTTAATAGAAATCACACAATTAAAGCCCCTTTCACACACGGTACCCAAGGATTTTCAGGCTACATGTAGCTGTGTAGCAGTAGATTTTGGCATTCAGACACAG